GGTGGCACCCGCTGCTCACCTTCTGCTGCGTGGCCCGGTTCCTGGTGGGCACTGCTGGTGCCAGTCTGTGGCCTGGGGATTGGGAAGCAGTTTTAAGGTTTTTTTTTTGAGACAGAGTCTCACTGTGTTGCCCAGGCTAGAGTGCCGTGGCATTAGCCTAGCTCACAGCAACCTCAAACTCCTGGGCTCAAGCAATCCTCTTGCCTCAGCCTCTCGAGTAGCTGGGACTGCAGGCATGTGCCACCATGCCTGGCTAATTTTTTCTACTTTTAGTTGTTTGGCTAATTTCTTTCTATTTGTAGTAGAGATAGGGTCTTTCTACTTTTAGTTGTTTGGCTAATTTCTTTCTATTTGTAGTAGAGATAGGGTCTCGCTCTTGCTCAGGCTGGCCTCAAACTCCTGAGCTCAAGCAATCCTCCTGCCTCGGCCTCCCACAGTGCTAGGATTACAGGCATGAGCCACTGTGCCCGGCCACAGTTTTAAAATAAAAATTCTGATTTAGTAGGTCTGAAGTAGGGACTGAGATTCTGCGTTTGTAGAAAATGTTTAGTGCAGTATTTTGATGCTTTCATTCTAAAGACCAATGGTAAACACACTGAAACTTTATTTTAAAAAGTTCAGGGTATACAGAAAACAGAAGACATGTTTGAAAAATTATTTATTTACATTTTAAGCTTACATTAAAATCTTTCTAGAATAGGATGGCTAAGATGAAATATATAAAACCAATATAAACACATAAACATTATTCTTTATCCAAACAGAAACCTAGCGATGGCTTTAGATAAACTCAAGATTCTCCTTCACAGAACCAATATTCCCTTAAATCATGCCATGGTACTATCTCCCCAATAAGAATTTTTATTTTTTGTTAGAGACAGGGTCTTGCTCTGGAATAGCTCACTGTAACCTCCAACTCCTAGGCTCAAGTGGTCCTCTTGCCTCAGCCTCTGGAGCAGCTAGGACTACAGGCACTTGACACCAAGCCTGGCTAAATTTTTTTTGTATTTTTTTGTAGAGACAGGGTCTTAGCTCTGTTGGCCAGGCTGGTCTGGAACTTCTAGCCTCAAGTGATCCTTATGCCATGGCTTCCCAAAGTGCTGGGATTACAGGAGTGAGCCACCACACCCAGCCCCCAATAAAAATTTAACTTGTATGATTCAAAAAAGCTGAGAAGCAAAAAGCTAACTTTGATTTATTAAATAGCTATCCATATGCCATAAAACCCAAAACCGTTTTATAGTGCTGAGATGTTCAAATAGGTCCAAACATGATATAATGAATATTTTAAATATAAGTGCTTTGGTTCTTAGGCTTTGACTTGGTTTTGGCCTTACTTGGATAATTAGATCATTCCAATGAGTCATTACAAGTAATCCACTCAAAACAGGTTTGTCTTAATACTATCACAAAGCACTTAGCCTTGCCTTGATTGGAAATACCTTTAAGGTACTGATAATAGCAACACATTCTTCCTTCACTCAGCAAAAAAGAAATCACATAAGTAACAAATTCATTTCCCATGTTTAAAAAAGCCCGTAGTCTGCCATAAAGCCTTATTCTTAAGAAAAAAGTTTCTCATAATGCCTGCTCTGGGTATTAGTGCATTATTGAAATCTTAGACCTCTAAGATCTCTTCTGATACCTTGAAAGGCTATGGCTTCATGATGCATTTATGTAAAATACGCTGAAGGTTAAATATACAAGCAATGCATTAAAGTTTCTGGGAAGGGTTCACATTTAAAACAGATTGGTTTAAAAAGGTCTAATTGGCTTTTTGGGGGGTTGTGCACTAAAACAAGTTTTTAAAATCTGGATTTAGTAAGAATTTTAGAAAAATAAATACTGTCATCTAGTCTATCCCTCTCCTTCTGTCCAAAAAGCAGAAAAAAAGCAATAGGGCAATGTGAGTTTTTACTATCCATGTTTTTCTTTTCTTTGTCTAATGTATTATCACAAAAGCAAACTTGACTTCCTTTCCTTGAAATGAAGAGCCTACCTTCTAGGACTATATTACATGTTCTTAAAAGAAAGTTTAAAAATCAGTGCTCTTAATAAACAAGCAGCTAAATGCCTGTAAAATTCATAGCTTGCATTTTGAAGAGTGCTATTATAAAGTCTGAAAGCAAAATTTAAACATATAATTATAACAGTTTACATTTAATCTTTTAAAGGTCTTTTAAAAGCTATAAGATATATTATACATTGCCAGTTAAATTCCCGCTCTAAACTGTTTTCTCAAAAATAACAGTTCCTCATGTTGATCATTTTTCCAATTTCATAAGTGGGGTAAACAAGAAATTAAGCACCTAGATGTGGTTAACACATTAACTGCCCTAGGAATTCTTAACTATTTTTTAAGTTTTTATACCATCATTTTTATTGATGTATGTTTTAGGATTGTTTTGCTTTCAAAGTTTTTATTCTATCTTTGTAATAAAACACAATTTTTGTTCTATTTTTGTAAATAAACCCCAAGGAAAAGTTTTCTTTTCTTTTTTTTTGGTGGCAGTCAATGTGTTAAATTAGCGTTCATTTGAGCAGTGGTTTTTTTTGTTTTTTGTTTTTTTGTGAAAAAAGGGATTCTAAATGTAGTCTAAAACTTTCCAGAAAGTCATATTGTACAGCATTTTATGTATATATAAATACAAATTTACAGGAAACAAATTAAGCTACATTTTTCATAATGCAAAAAATAAAAATGCAAAATACAACAAATGTGATTACAAACTAAGCCAGCTGAGAAATATGCTCGCTGTTCTGCTCCAAAGGCAATGACTGTAACTTGAAGCGTATCCTGTACGTTCACTACAGATGCTTTATCTTTGACCTTAGCCTACCCACAGTTTTAAGTGGAAAAAATGTTCTGTTAAAGCTAATGTCATACAAGTAGTTGAGTTTACTAGGAATATTTGCAGTAGAGAAGAAAGATTTCGGGAAGGCATGATAGCAGACTTCAAATATTTTGAACTGTAATTACAGGGAATGATCAAAATTCTTTTTCCAGAAGAAATCAGGACTTTCTGATAAGAGCTGTGCAAAAACTAAAAGGTCTGCTTCGTCAGTGTAAATTCCCAGTCCTGCCTTGTCAGGGCTCTTTGGGTGAGGATTTCTGAGTTGGCAGGTGAGACCGATAGTGTGATGGTTAGGCTTCAAAGTGCTCTAAAGTTTCTTGATGGAAATGATTTTGTTGAGATTGAGCTTCTTTTTTTTTTGTTGTTTTTTTTTGAGACAGAGTCTTACTCTGCTGCCTGGGCTAGAGTGCCGTGGCGTCAGCCTAGCTCACAGCAACCTCAAACTCCTGGGCTCGAGCGATCCTCCTGCCTCAGCCTCCCAAGTAGCTGGGACTACAGGCACACACCACCGTGCCTGGCTAATTTTTTCTATTTTTAGTTGTTTGGCTAATTTCTTTCTATTTGTAGTAGAGACGGGGGTCTCACTCTTGCTCAGGCTGGTCTCAAACTCCTGAGCTCAAGCAATCCTCCCGCCTCAACCTCCTACAGTGCTAGGATTACAGGCGTGAGCCACTGCACCTGGCCTGAGATTGAGATTGAGTTTCTAACATGAATTCATAGGCAGTTAGCTTTATCTTGTGTTCCTGCCTGTAAAGCAGTATTTGATTTTGCTGTTATACCTCTTGTAGGTAGATGGGCTTAGCCCTCCAGGGATACATAGAAGTAATTTTTCTGATCTAAGTACTCTCCCATGAAAACAAGTAGGTGGCTGTGAGGAGCGCTGGTAGTGCCCTGCTCGTAGTAAGTCCTCCAGCAACTGCTGGCAGAAGTAGACTAGAGGCCCAGATTTTAATTGGAGGAAAAGAAGTTACCCAATCTGAAATGTTTACCATTCTATAAAGCTCTGATCGTGAGAACGAATGGAAAGTCCTCTTTGGCACTCCTTTACCTCAGAGGCCCTGCCAGGGCTCATCACAGCAAGAAATTCTTACTGTCAGATTTGAGGTACAGAAGGAATAAGAAGCATGACAATTTTGACCTATATTAAACTCTTCCATAAGTTAGAAGAGATTTTTAACTCTAAAATCAAGGCCTTTTTTTCTCCAGAAGATTAAATTTACTAAAAACGTAGTAATAAAATACTATGGCTGTAAATATATAAGACAAATGAGGTCACATGGTTTATACATTTCAAATTCTTAGAGAGGTCCTACAGTCGTTCAGGAAGACAGTTTAAAGTATTGTTCCCTGAGTTCTTGAGGCAACTAGAAAGATAAATTCATGAACTTCAAGACTTAGAGACCGAAAACACAGGTGGTCTGCTTATCCCTCTTCTAAGAGTAGCTGTTTACTACAAAGTGGTTTGTTCAGTGCTTTCCCTGTAGTTCAAATGCTTTTTAATAATGTGGCTTTATCCATTTCTTAGATGCCAGGCTCTCAAATGAAACTTCTAAGGGTTGGAAGAAAAGGCTGTTCAAAGAAAGTAAAGCCTTGACATTAGTTGAGTGCAGCTGAGTAAATCAGTTTGAAATCGATCATACAAAGACTGATAATACTGTTACAGGTGTTAGAAGGTAGAGTTCTACAGACGGGCTTTTCAGACCCCAAAGGTTATTGAGCCCAGCCAGCCTCTTTATCAGAATTATAATCTACCAGTTAATCCAGTCTACCAATTAATTCAAAGAACCAAAATATTACAAACAGAATGACTTCTCAGTATTTCAATTTATAAGACACCTAAATGCAGTTTTAAAATAAAGTTCATTAATAACCATTCTAATCATATCTCAAACTTAAAGTATCTGGACTTTACATACAGATTTGTGATTAAAAAATCACTTAAAACTACCTTCTTGGTGGCTAATTAGAACACTTAAAAAAATAAAGTTAAATCTTGGGAATAATTTAAACAGTGACATATGTAAATATTTATTTGAAACTCTTATAAAGGTCTATTTACAAAAACTAATTACGATGAATGGAGACTCCAATTCTGTTGCTAGCAGTTTTAGGTTAGGCTTAATTTTAAGCCATTAAAGGTTTAAAAAAAAAAGCGTTGAGAGAGCCTACTGAAATGTTCCATCTATTTCAGTAAAGTGCACAAATATGAGTGTATCCTTTGGTTTGGCTATGACCTCAAAGGAGGTGTAGAAGCCAGTGGCGCTGGTGTCAGATTCCTGACTATGTTACTGAGGCTGGCAATCTTCTCTTCCAGGAGGTAATTTTTCTTCTCTGCTGTTTTCTGTCGCTGTTCAGTCATTTCCAGAGCTTTCAATAACTGTGCGTTTTCAATATACAAATCCTTCACCATTGCATCTGCTTTAGTATTCTTGCAGAGCTAGAAACAGAACCAAAAACATCTTGACTCCATTTCTGTAATTCTTTTAGTTTTGAGTTCTGACATAAGGACAGTTTTATAAAAGCAAATCATGTCTAGCAATCATATTCTTTTATTTTACAACACAGCTTTAACATTAAACTTGGCATCAGAGATATACATGGAACAAATCTACTTTTTCCAAGATATTTCTTTGCATATTATGTTTGTAGAAGTTACTAATAAAAAGAACAGATTGATATTTGAAGACTACAAAATGCAAGGTTTTTTCCTACTTAAGTTAGATATTCCTTTATTCATTCTTTAAAAATATAAAATACTTTTATAACTTCTGAGGTATAAGGTGTGAACTGCTTAACTCTGCTCTTAACAACAGATGCTTGAACTTTCCATTCGTAACTACAGTCTACTGATTAGTTTAAAATTTGGCTCATTTATTAGGACAAAGATAAGATTTGGGCAGTTACTTTTCTTGAACTCTTCCATTTTTGCATAGGGCCTCATCTAACAGGCATATTCTAATTTTTATGGTTAGAACCTGTAGTCTAGGTTGCGGTGGTGGGAGAACTTATTAGCAGCCTCTGGAAATGTGTACTGTTGCTCCTGTTAGTATTTCCCAAGCCCCTTTCCCATGTTACACATTTAATGCCTTATTTTATACCCAGTTTCAAGAAGGGCATCTAAACGTGTAAAGGTTTAAGGGAATAATGAACAACTAAAGAGTAGCCAAATAACTTACTAGCATTTCAAAGGGTAATGATAAGGATTATAACACCCTAAAGCCCAGATCCTAGGTAACTGGCAGGGGTAACATACTAACTTTTCAGAACCTGCTCTCTACTGCACTGTCCTAGTGCAACTTTTCTTTCCTTCCTTCCTCCCTCTCTGCCTTTCAATGGTTCTTCATCACCTACAGAATAATTCAAACTCCCTGGCTCATCCCTCCAGGCCCTCTGCTTCCCTGCTCCTCCCCTCCTGTCTAGTCCCTTCTCTTGTCTCTCCCAGGACAGCAGGAACTGGTAATCCCTAAGCATCTGTGCACATCCACACCCCATGTGTTGTCAGAACTCCATGATGTTCCCACATTTCTTCACCTGCTCAACTCTTAACTTTCAAGATTTGGTGTCAGAAGCTTCCAGGAAGCTTTCTTTAAATTACTGGGCTGGATCAAGTATCTCTTCTCTTGTGTTCTCTACTGAAGATGAAAATAGGACAAACCCTATTTTATTTATTTTTGAACCCACGACCTGGCCAAATGCTCTGCACATTGTAGGTGTACTAGACTTTGCATTTCCTATGGGCAGGGACTTTGTGGTTCACTGCTGTATTTCTAGTGCTTAGAACAGGATCTGGCACATAGTACCTGTGTGTTGAATGCATGAACAAAGGAATGAATACAGGACTTTCTCCTCTATATTAAAATACAGGGCAATGGAAAGTTCCTGTCTACATCTGATTTAGACCTTTTCTGAAGATCATTATTCTTAGGTTTTATGTATCTAGAGAACCAGGCTGGGCAGTTTTCGTATCCCACCCCACAAGTTTCTCTCAATCTCAGTTTCCAGAGAAGCTGTAACATTCTCCTAGTGGGTGGTACTCTCTGCATGCCTCTTTAGTGGATGCACAACTAATTTTTCTTTTTCTTTTTCTTTTTTTTTTGAGAGAGAGAGTCTCACTCTGTTGACCTGAGTAGAGTACAGTGGCATTATCGTAGCTCACTACAACCTCCAACTCCTGGGCTCCAGCGATTCCCTGCCTCAGCCTCCCAAGTAGCTGGGACTATAGGCACACACTGTGATGCCTGGCTAATTTTTCTACTTTTAGTAGAGATGGAGTCTCACTCTTGCTCAGGCTGGTCTTAAATTCCTAAGCTCAAGCGATCCTGCCTCAGCCTCCCAGAGTGCTAGGATTATAGGCGTGAGCCACTGTGTGCAGCCCCCCTCCCTTTGTCTCTCTTTTATTAAAAAAAAAAAGAGTCTTGTTCTGTTACTCAGGCTGGAGTGCAGTGGCACAATCATAACTCACTGCAGCCTTGAACTCCTAGGCTTAAGCCATCTTCCTGCCTCAGCCTCCAGAGTAGCTGGGACTACAGACATGTGCCACCAGGCCTGGCTGATTTTTTTCTTTTTTCTTTTTTTTTGAGATGCAGTCTTGCTATGTTGCCCAAGCTGCACAACTAATTTCTAAACAATGAGGCCACATATGCCACCAGCAGGTGAAATGGATCAGACTGGTGCTTAATGGTCCTGGAATTTGGGGTTCAGACTCTAATTCAAAGCACATCCTTTTGGGGGTCTGGCTATAGCAATAATGTACTTTTCCAAGTTGTCATAAGTTACTGGGAACAGGACAGCTAAAGTTCTATTTATTATCCTCTAATTTTTTTTAACCAACACTTTGTTTACTTAAATAGCAACATTTCTTGCCTTGGGCAGAAAAAATATCTACAAATATTCAATTTGAGCTGCTAAACTTGATCACAAATGCTTTAGGTCCATATGCATCACTGTTAGCAAATATACATTTTTTAATTGTGGACAAACATATGCCTTAAAACAACTTTGGAGAAAATAATGTACGATACAGAATTCATACTTTGGGGGTGATGCGAAGAGAGCGAATCCTAAGTTCTTTCAGACATTTGTAATAGAATTTGCCTTTATTAGACAGCACAAGTTAACACGTTAATGGCAATAAAGGGGTGTAAAACTGGAGTTAAAATTGGAATGTGAGATGGGTGGATAGAGATGACCAGAGAGGCTCACTTGTTCTTTGAGCTGATTCACTTTCTCCTGAAGAAGCCTTTTCACCAGTTTCAGTTTCTGTTCAACTTCGATCATTCGTTCCTCCATGACAGTTACCAGTTGTTCCTGATCTCCCTGAAAGGAAGTTTCAAATTAAAAAAGTATATTTGAAAATCATGCCACAGTTATTTTCCCCACAAGATGCTGAGAGACAAGGACAGCAAATGTTTTGCCTTTGTAACAGGAAGGATGAATTTCTGATGAGATGGGAGTTTTGAGCCCTGCATGGGTTGTACATGTTACAAAAGTAACCCTATCAGAGAAAGAATCAAAGATTAAAAAAATGAAAAGAATCTTACCTGAGTTACCATTGTCCCCCTGAGATAAACCCATAATTTAATACCTGTGTGTACATCTTCTAGTAAAACGAGTATCCAAAGTAAATTAAAAGATGGTTATCAACCTTTCATCTGTGACTTAGGTCTCTGCAATACTGTGGACTTCTCAAAAAAAACAAAAACTGAGTTTATTCAGGGTTGCCTAATGTTTCCAGTCAGCTTGCAATATGCATGTCTGTTTTTCCTTTGAAATGGCTGATTACTGTGAGGGCGTCAGTGTTTGTAGTTAATCAGCCTCTTCTTGTCAGTTATTCTAGTCATCTGTTTTCTAATTTGACTTGTCAATGTGAAGCAAACATCTGGATTAGAGGATGGGTTTATCAACAGAGCAGACTGCAATCTAAGAATCTTCTCCCCACAAACAACAACTGGATAAAACAATAGGGTATTCTTCCTTTTCTCACACAGCAGTGGAGGGTTAAGTAGTAAGTGGGTTTTGGAGAGCAGAGAGAACTAGGGAGAGATTAGAGTGCAACTGACTCCCCCCCTCCCCGTATACTGTCTACGTAAGGAATTTCAGATCTCAAAAGGTGCTTAAAATGTTTAAGAAAAGCTCAGGTGTTAATGGCTCATGGTACTTAAAATAGTCTTTAAAGGCTTACTTAGAAAAGAACACGCAGAATGTCCAAACATTACTTGAAAGCCAACATCTGTTTGGATATTAAATAATCATAAAAGAAACCATGTGACTACTTTGAAGATAAAAACTGTAGTAGGCAAAAGCCTAATGCAGAAAATAAATTTCAATTAGAAATTAGACTTTAAGAACATCTAGCTTTTAAAAGGGCTATATTTTAAAAGACAGAATAGCTTTTTAAAGTTTAAACAAATGAAAAATGTCTGATTTCCAGTTGCCTTAAAAAAAAAAAAACAACGGATAATTCAAAGAATATGAATGTGGAAAAAGAGGAAAAACAAAGGCAGTCATATATTTAAATTTTATTTTATTGCTTCATCAAAATTTTCCCTTTTCCTGTCAAAAACTTTTATACATCTTATACAAAACAGTATAAATAACCTTGATTTTCTTCAAATTCCATATATAAAAGTAGGAGTACCTTTTGTTAAAAATAGTTACAACATATGGAATGAGAAAATATATAGAATACATTCTTTCAGGAATCTTAAATCCACGTTCTTTAAATGGTATAAATAAAATGATTTGTAACAAGCTGAAGTTTGTGAATTTGATTCACAAGATCTGTCATTTCTACATAAATAAGAGACATAATACTGCAAAGGCTTAACAATAAAAATAATAAATAATTTGAAAGAGCACTTGATTCCAACATTTCTCAGCTTATGTCTCTGTTTGTGTGGTACGGGTGCATGTGTGGGTGTGTGCCTTTGAGTGTCTGCCAGGGTAAGAAATGCCATCAATAGCAGCCCAGTTTTCACAGGTGCCCAATCCTTCTGTAGGAATCTGCATGCACTGCTCGCTGCTCCGGTAGCAAGGCCTAGAGAAAGAAGGCAAGTGGTACACTTCACCCTCATGTCAAGATTGTTTTTTGGGGGGGAGTCTAAATTCACACATTTATAATGCAAACAATTATTTAAAGCACACACATTAACACTACATATGCAAGCAAAGCAACACAAAGGCAGAAGAGATCACTCCACACACAGAGACAACATGCAGATTCTAAGAACATTCTGTATTAAAATTAGTGTCAGCTTGGAGTGCCTGCAGTGGCATTCTAGTGAGAGTAATAAGTAGTCTGTCCTGTTATCTGGCTGGATGATTTTTTGGGGGTATAAAAATCTTAAGTTTTTTCCATCTAATCCAGAAGTAATTGGAGTCAAAGATATTTTTTTTTAACATTGGTGGGTTGGAAAGAGCATCCTTTGAAAAGAGGGTGTATGAGAGAGCAAGTAGAATCTTGGCCAGATGATCATTTGGTTTAGAAGGTCCAGTAAAAACTGAGGTCAAGGTTTTATAGTTCAATTATTTCATGAAGAGTTGAAGCATCCCCCTAACACCTTACTATCACAATCTTAATTCAAGAATTTATAATTTTAATATCAGGAAGTTGAAGTGGTATGTAGAAAGCTTCTAAAAACAGATTTTAAAGCACATAAGGCAAACTTTTAAAAATTGTTAGAAGTAGTGACAGAAGTATTTCATAACAAAGCATAGATATATACTAGGAGGAGAAAACAACTGCTCTAGTATATAGTTACAGTGCTAATGTGACTTTACAAAGCCATTTTGTAAATTGAGGGGATCAAAAAGGGAAATTCCTTTTAAATACTAACCAAAAGGCAACATATCTAAAACAGAAGCACCACATCCAAACCAGAAAGAATTCCACAAAGTAGTATTATACTTTGATTCTTTGCTCCTAGTTCTGAATTACATAAATGGGCAAGCCCCAAGAGTTATAAAAACTTCTTTAAAAAAAAGGATTATGAATGAAGCACTAAAGAGAAATAACTATTTGAAAACTATATAACATGAGATTATATCTGGTAGTGAGCTAAGATAATGCTAATTCAAACAGTATGGGAAGAACTTTATTTTCTTAAAAATAGTTTTTCCAACTAGATCACTTAAAAACTTAAATGAACTGTTAACTAACGAGTCTCCACTTTTGAATTCTATGGAACTTGGCAGGCCACGCCTCTCTGGTACAGGAAAACTCAGGATGCTTTCTTAGTCGTGTATACCCTAAACTTACATTACACTTGAATTTTGTAAGATTTTTGGTATGAGGTGGGAACATTAGGCCAATTGTGCACTGTGCTCAAGCGATCCTGATACTTCATCTACTACAAACGTGCAAAGGAGACTGACAACAAACACTTAATCACCCAGCTTAGAAGCTGAGGGCTCAAAAGTAGCACTTCAAAAAAAAAAAAAAAACAAAAACACTGCAGTTCCGTGGATTTATACTAAAGTATAACTCTCAGAGGATTTAGGTTCTTTACCCTCACTTTTGAATTGGTATAAATTTCAAATAAACAGGTAAAATCACTTAGATAGATGATCTGAGTTTACTACAAGAGACAAAAAAGAGCTACATACCTGTGGAGTGTTGGTTTCGGAGGTCCTGTTTTCAAGTTCCTCCTGCAGGTGCTGGTTTATCCTCTCTGCCTGCAGCAGCTGGTGTTGAAGCTGCAGAAACTGCTCCCTGGGCACCATGGGGCAGGCCTGCTGCGGGAGCAGCTGCAGATCCCAAGCGTGAGGGGACGGGCTAAGCATCACAGTGGACCTCAGGTGCTGCATCTGCAGGACAAGGGCAAACCCCGGTCAGTCGTGGTGCCTCCAGTCCAGAGCTTCCCTCGAAGGTGTCACACAAGAGTAATGAAGCCTAGGGACTGGTTAATGGCCTCACACCCACTGACAACTTAGAAACAGGACAGCACAGGAGCCTGAGAAAGATGTAAATGGGAAGGGCCATTTTGCATAGGAGATGATATGATTAATGAATAAGCAGGCTTTCTTAAAAGCTGTAGACTTAAAAAGTAGAACTTACTCATGCCTGAGTGACTATACAGGCATGAAATACATGATATACATAATATGTCTGAATTCTTTCTCGGTTTTACACTGAAATATTTAATTACATCTTTTAAAAACTGGGATCAGAGTAAGGAAATCAGGAGAAAGTGGTTATGCTTTAGGGTTTTGCCACTTGATTTACCATTCATAAAGATATTTTAAAATTTTTTTTGAGACAGAGTCTCGCTTTGTTGCCCAGGCTAGAGTGAGTGCCATGGCATCAGCCTAGCTCACAGCAACCTCAATCTCCTGGGCTCAAGCAATCCTGCTGCCTCAGCCTCCCAAGTAGCTGGGACTACAGGCACGCGCCACCATGCCCGGCTAATTTCTATAGTAGAGATGGGGTCTCGCTCTTGCTCAGGCTGGTTTTGAACTCCTGACTCAAGCAATCCGTCCCATAAAGATTCTTAAAGGTAAATATTAAATGACTGCATATTTTCCAACCCCAAGTCAGTAATTTGTTTGAAGAATCTGATCTTACATCTAAAATGATTTTAATCTATCATTGTTGGTCAATGTGTACTTATACCCTTCAATTGAAAATAGCATAAGACAGGCAATTCTGGGGGATAAGGCCATGATATCCTAGAACATCTAGGAATTAGAGTACACGGAATAGAAAGATTTGTTCAAGACAATGAGGAAATGGTATGTGTATCAACATGCCAATCAAAGTAGGGGCGAGGAAAGGGAGGAGAGTGCACTGTACTCTGGCCAGGGAAGCATGCCACCTCACATCTCACTTTCAGGGCTCAACTGAAGGCATGCAACAGACATGACTAAGTACTGAACTCAAGAAGCAGCACCTCCAGGCTTGTGAGAAGGGGAAAAAGGACCTCTAAGACTCAACTATTATTAAATGCTTATCATGAAGCTTCAGAGCCACTATCCATTTCCTTACATCTAAATTTCTTGAGGTGGACCACTGCCCATTTTGAAATACTTCTAGTGGTAGATTCAGAAAATCCACCACTTTTTCATGAATCAAGACATGGAGAATTATGATCCCATGACTCTATATCAGTGGGATAATTCTCTTTATAAATAATGCTTTAAATACCAAGGAAAATCCTGATATAAACAGAAACATATTATGCAGTTAAAGCAAAATGAAATGAATACTGGCTCTTACCTTAAGTACTTACTAACTGATAGTCAATAGAAATGATTGCATGAACACTGAGTGTAATGGGATGTCTCCATGCTATGAAAGTTTATTGAAAGAGAAAGTTCTACCTTCACACACTATCTCAGGCAGAGAACTGCACCCTTCTCTGCTACTTCCAACCACTGAGTTCTAGGTACACGTTAGCCATAGACAAGACAAAAACAAAAGAAAATTACAGGAGTTATAAAAAGAGGAAGAAAAGTATGACTTATAAAAAGAGGAAGAACAGTGTCAATTAGGTATATTATATATGTGAGAATAAGAGCATATGAAGGACCAATGTTTATTTTTCTGGTTATAAATTTTAGACATTAAAATGTCTTATAATTTTAATTCTGCAACTGCATCCTCACCTACTATAATTCGGTTGGTTTGTGAGCTTGCCACCTTTACCTGTATCCATGCAGTACAATTATTTAGAAGATTTCAGGTCCAGTATGGAATGGATCTGACGTTAAATCCCTTGCCACTAGGAGATGCAGAACACAGTATGAACTATAAAACATTTTTGCTGTTCAAGTGAACTGTTTGCTATAACAGAGGTATTCAAGCAGACTTGAGAATTGCTAATATAGTTTGTTCAAAATGAATTATTAAACATTGCCTCATATAGCTGAAAAAGCCCTGAAGTAGGAGTCAAATTCTAACCCTAATTCTTCTATTTCCTAGTCTAGTGATTTGCTGTCTTTAATAACATTGCAGTAGAGTGCGTGTTGCATTAGATCAGTGACTTTTAAACTACTATATACAGATGAAGAGAAACTCCTCTAAGGGAGTGCATACATCAGATCAGAATCATCTAGAAAGCTTTTCTCAAATTACCTGATCCCAAAGATTCTGACGCAGGATTTCTCCCTGCCTGCCTACCCTTGTGCCCCAACCGGGTGTAAGACTCCCTGCCAGAGTACTGAGGAATGAACCTATCCTTCAGGTGAGCTGGGCACAAAAGATGGTGTGAAAACCACTGTACATCCTTCAAATTGGCCTAATCTATAGATATCATAAATAAATATCCAATCTGTAGTGGGGGGGCAGTGGTTAATGGTTAAGTTTCTGTTCAGAGTGTTGAAAAGTTTTTAGAAGTAGTGATAATGGTTGTACAACACTGTGAATGTAATTAATGCCACTGAAGTGTACACTTAAAATGGTAAATTTTATGGTATGTATATATTTACCAGCTTAAAAAAATTAATGTAATATACCAAAAAAGACTGAGTTGAATACTTTAAATGGGTGAACTGTATAGATATGAATTATATCTCAACAGAGCTGTTAAACAGTCCAATCTGTAGAAATCTATAGAGTTAACGGTTCAATCTTATTTTCTAATGAAAGTTTTATTTGAGTAGTGTATGCGATGTTCTTTTCAGTGTTCACATGGAAAATTCATGCTTTTTCCTTATTCAGCTCCAGTGCCAAGAACGCTCAATTTCCCTCATCTTTTAGTAGATATTTACTATTAGATCAGGGGAAAAATAATGGGAGGAAGTTGCATACAATGGCTAATAATGGAATATGGGGCTGGGAGAGCAGGTGGGGGAAGACGGCCTGTTGGAGAGCCTCTGTCAAGGCCCTAATGGTGATTAAGTATATACCCTGTTACTTTTCAATTTGTTGTTAGACATATTGGGCTTAGCTTCAGATATCTTATTCATTAGAGTATATAATTATTTAGTCTACATCTAAGCACAACCCGCAGCTCAAGGTTTTGAACACATTTATTATATGCTGTCAGAAAAAGAAAAAATGGTTTGATTTCACTATTTATAGTTTAACAAATTTCCCCATTAGAGGGTAAATCGGAGAACATAAAATTGACAGAAGCCTCAGTGGGTTATTTAAATGTTAGTGTGACATGTTTGCCCATATTCACATTTAAAAACCAAGCATTGATTTTTAAAGTTTCCTTTGCATGTGTCCAGCTTCATAAAAGAATATATTTGAATATCTCCATTCTTTCCTATAATTCTGGCTTTAAAAATATACCTATAGGTAGTACTTTTTAAGAACACAGACATTTTCTACCCTATATAAATTTTATAGTTCACTAAACATTGGATTAATTGACTAATATTTCCATCTAGCCAAAGCACCTCAATGAAATTTTACTTATTAAGGAGGATTTGCACATAAATTGTTTTCTATCCTATAATTGAACTCAGCATTCAGAAGGCAACCTAGCAGACTGGAATGAACATACAAGCCTGACAAGTTTGGTTTTTTTGTTTTTTTTTAGACAGGGTCTTGCTCTGTTGCCCTGGGGCAGAGTGCAGTGGCATCATCATAGCTCACTGCAACCTCAAACTCCTGAGCTCAAGCCATCCTCCCACATCAGCCTCCCAACTAGGAAGAACTGGGACTATAGGCATGTGCCACCATTCCTAGCTAATTTTTCTATGTTTTGTAGAGACAGGGTCTTGCTCTATTGCTCAGGTTGGTCTCCAATCCTGGCCTCAAGCAATCCTCCCGCCTCGGCCTCCCAAAGTGCTAGGATTACAGGTGTGAGCCACTGTGCCTGGCCCAAGCTGACAAGTTACATCCATTTTTATAATTATCAGATATACCTCTTGCAAAGCAGTGCTGAGTTATAAATGTAGTATTGAACAATGGCAGCACTTGAAAATAAAACTTCTAAATGCTAATGCTCTCAAATTCCCTGCATAGATTTCCTAACAGAAGAGATTGTTAGAAAGCAATCATGAAAACACTGAAATATAGAAGGTATCACAGGGGGGAAACATAAATACAGTGACAGTAAGAGAACTCTGGGCCCCTTGGCCAGTATCAGACAGAGTCCCTGCCATCTGAATTTGTTGAAGTTTAGATCTTTGCATTTTAGGTCAATATTATTCCTTCCTCTGCAAAGTAGTATAGATTTCTATACTATGTATTCTATGTAATTAAGCAAAAATGCCTATTGAACTTGGTAAGACAGACCAAAAAATTCAGCTTGGCAATGTACTTGGATTTTCATAGCAGGAACTGAATGCCATGTCTAGTCTCTCCCAACAAATGGCTCATTCATGGATTAAAATATTCTTCATAGCTAAGGCCATCTGCTTAAAAACTTACGTCCATGAGCTGCTCATCCAGTTTTACTTGTTTCTTTTTCAAGCCTTCATTTTCCAAATGAATTGTTTCTAATTCTCGTTCAAGGGAATTCATCTGACTGATCTGTTAAAAAACAGAAAATTCGCTAAAAAAAACCCCAAAACACAAAAAAACCTGGTTTGCTTTACTTTGACAAATCTGCGCTAGTCAGAAATCTCAACCCTGGGAAGAAAGCCAAAGTGAATTCAGCCATGGAAAACGACAAACAATGCAATTCAGTGCATTGCTTCTATTAAGTAAGGTAGTTTTAATCACCAGTCCTCACACAGAACAGATTCCTTAAGGCAGCAGCTGGCTTTTAAACTTGGATGCCACCCACTAGAAGAAATATATTTTATCTTACAACATAGTACACACACCCACATGTATATGCACAGTCATAAGCACTTATCTGTGAAACAATATTTATCCTTGCCATGCATGTACTCTGATATTTCCTAGTATATTTTATTAATAAAAATGCTGCTTTTCACTAAATCAATTTAATGATCCTCTACTATGAATCTGCAATGGGAAAAACACTGCCTCAAGGTAAAGTTAATGGTTTAAAGTTGAGAGTACATAAAACCTGATTTATATAACTCCTTTCTCTATTTTTTTTAAGAGACAAGGTCTTGCTCTCTCACCCAGGCTGGGGTACAGTGGCATGATAACAGCTCACTGTAGCCTCCAACTCCTGGCCTCAAGTGATGCATACACCATTACAAGCTAATTTATTTTTATTTTTGTAGAGATGGGATCTTGCTATGTTGCACAGGCTGGTCTTGAACTATTTGGTCTCAAGCACAATCCTCTTGCTTTAGCCTCCCAAAGTTCTGAGATTACAGGTGTGAGCCACCATGCCCAGCCCATTCACAATTTTAAAGATGAAATTTGAGGATTTTATAAGTATCCATTTCTGAAATTCTTTTTACTACAGGAAGAATCTAATGAGCTAGAGAATCCTGCTAAGTAGAACACATATGACACTATTCTAGAAATGCTGATTTTGCCTCTATCAAAAAGAGCTCAAGAGAGCAGCAAGAATTGTTAAACAGAGTATAATCTTCCCAGGTCCATTTAAAATGCATTCTTATTTAAAGACCTATCACAAGATGTTTCCCCTAGCCAACAGCTAGATGAAACCCACTCTCTTTCTAAAAAGTTTACTTGAACATACCTGAAATTAAATAGCATTTCGGCTTTAGAGCACAACCCGCCTTCTTGTTGCAAATGGTAATGATAATAAAATTTTTTTTTTTTTTTTTTTTGAGACAGAGTCTCACTTTGTTGTCCAGGCTAGAGTGAGTGCCGTGGCGTCAGCCTAGCTCACAGCAACCTCAAACTCCTGGGCCCGAGTAGCTGGGACTACAGGCATGCGCCATCATGCTCGGCTAATTTTTTTTTTTATATATATATATATGTATCAGTTGGCCAATTAATTTCTTTCTGTTTATAGTAGAGACGGGGTCTTGCTCAGGCTGGTTTTGAACTCCTGACCTTGAGCAATCCGCCCGCCTCGGCCTCCCAAGAGCTAGGATTACAGGCGTGAGCCACAGCGCCCGGCCTAAAATTTTTAAAAGTTGTTATGAATACTTTGACATGAATATTTCCTAACAAAAGCAACATTGTTCATTCTTCCCAGATTTTTAAACAAACTATAGGAAGGTAATAGTGAAAATTCTGAGTTTCACTTTAGAACAAGAAAGAGAGAAAAAAAAATAAGTAACAACCCCCACCCCAGAATAACATTGGTCCAGAACTCTAACTTTTGGCACGAAGTATAGAAAGCACACTAAGCTGCACTACAGAGCTCTGACCATGTGGTAGCTAGCCTCTGAGATGACTCCCACTTCCTGGCATGCATCCTCTTGCATAGTTCCTTCCCACACTCGACCACAGCTAGTCTGTGTGACAAACAGAATACAGCACAAATGTTGGTATGTCCCTTCTGAGGTTTGCTATTAAAGGCACCACAGCTCTGTCTTGATCTTTTGGGGGAAGCTCGCTGCCACATTCTGCGAAAAGGCCCAGGAGATGACGAGCTGAGGTCTCAGGCAATCAGCCAGCCAGTGTCAGAATCCTCTGGCTAACAGTTACATGAGTGAGCTTGGAAAGTGGATGCTCTCGTCCCAGTGAAGCCTTCGGATAACCACAGCCCTGGCTAACATCTGGACTGCAATCTCACCAGAGCCCTGAGTCAGACTACCCAACTAAGTGGCTTCTGACTTCCTGACTCACAGATGAGGCGAAAAATGTTTGTTGTTTGAATTTGATAAATAGCAATAAAAACAATAAGACCGTGTTAAGATGTTTCTCATATTTAGGCTATATATATGTTTTGCTAACTTACAAAGGCTTGTAATACTAATGAAGATGGATTAACTATCTTCTTTATGAAAGCTTAAAGTAAACTGTTCTTTTTTCAACAATTATTCAAGCAGAAAGAAATATGATACTATGATACTGTTTTGAAAAGAGTATAAAAGCATAAAGAGATATAAAGAAGAACCACAGAAACACAGAATGTACTCTTAAAAACTCACCTTTCTATTAGTAGGAGATCCTTCCTTCTGAAACTGTTCACACTCTCTCTTTAAGCTCAGCTTTTCTTGCTCTGTGGGTTTCACAGTACCTGATGAGTTTAGATGTTTTTGGTGTTTGGGAAGAAGGCTGGATTCCAGTTGACGAACCTAACAAGAACAAACGAAAGAGGAAGAGATGCTAATACAATCGGCCATCCAAGAAAAATAAGGAATATAAGGAAAGTTTTAATTTGGCACTTGGGTACTGTTGTAAATTTTTTTAAGTTAAGCCTGCCAATTCTTGAAGCCCCCTTTTTTGGATTTCAAAAGATCCTTTCTAGGTAAATCTGGTTGGGTCTACAAACCCAATGCTGTAAGGACAAGATGGGGAAGAGGGGACTTCTAGGTCTACTAACTCTCCAGGCGTCAACAGCGTGTGTAATCGGGGTGCTAAGAAGACAGACATAGGAGTTCTAGGCACTTTTGTTCTGATGTAAGCCTTACTTTTAGGAGTGAATGAGGTGACAGTCCCATCTATTCTGTATTGGACTGTTCACGCCCGAAAGAATGCATTTACATCAACTACGTTCCATGAGGACAGGGACCATCCCTGTCTTGTTCTCCACTGCAGCTTCTGTGATAGTTTCTAGCAAGGAGTAGGTGTTCAAAAGGGACACCTGGGACTCTTCAGAGAGCACCTAATCAAAGGAAGTGTTGAAGCATAGCTTAACTACCATTGGTTGACTACATAGCAGAGGTAAGGAATTCAAGCATCAGTTTGGTGGCTGGAAAAAGAAATGCTGAGTCTTTTAAAAGGGGAACCCTTTTCTCTTATAAGAAATTAGATCCACAAGCTCTATGTTTTGCCGTTTTTGTACTACTAGTCTTGGTGGCCAGCCAATTTGAATGAAGACTATATGGTTAGCATAATTTCCATGAGTCTATATGAGGATTAAAATCACAAATATATTTTAATATAGAACTGCTTCTACAAAGTAAAAAATATTTTATAAACATCAATATAAAATTATATGCAAGTAAATGATAAATTATACATCTTAATTTTAAAGATGAAATTTGAGGATTTTATAAGTAATAAGTCTGCCATAGCAGGATACTCAAACTCATACCCTAGAATCATTTCAATCATATCAAGCATTGATTTTCATATCAAACTAGTCATTTTCAATCATATGCCACCATATGCAACTTCTCAAGTTACCTTCTCCCGGGAATGTGTGAGTTCTGCTTTGGTGTCTGTACACGTTTGGAGTCTCTCGTTCTCTTTGCAAAGCAGCTGCTGTTCTTCATTCATCAGATGATCCAACTTGTCCAAGAAAGCTTTTCTGCTGTTATGGACCCTGATGGATGGGTGGCTATTTCTGGGGCCCAGTTCTAAGAGAGAATTGCAGAGTTAAGTAACCTAACAACAAGCTGATGGGTAATTTCTGGTTTGAGAAGGTATCATATTTACCTAACGATGACAATTTCAGTAAGTACCTTTAAACTTCACCTTTGTCTTCTAATGAAGTGAGTGTATGTATATACAAATATGAATATGAACTCCAGGAATATTGGAGGTTGATTTAAAAAAAGTTTCAAAATTCTATGTTTACCATGGTTTTGGCAAAATAGCCTCATCAAGTCTGGTAACAATACGATTGTAGGCATCCCAGGTCCATATAGGACCAAGTGCATAGAGCTTGGTGGCTGAACAATTGCCTGGGCAACATGGTGAATTTTGTCTCAAAATCACAAACTTTTGTTCTGGTGGGAAAAAAGTATCGTCGAGCCCAGAAAATACTCCTTTGACGAATAGAGAACGAAGGAATCTGAGATGCACTGCCAACGCGAAAGCTTTCCCTAGCTAAACTCTACTTCCATTTGCACATATGCAATCATATCCATTTTAGAACCAAGCACATATTGTCTGTACAATTGGCCTGAATTTGGGAAATGCTTTAAGCTATCAAAGTGATTTCTTGATCTTGATGATATTAAAAAATTAAAGTAACAGCAAGATAATCTTCCTGCTTTCAAGCTAAATATGAAAAAGAAAAGGTACAATCTCTTTTGAGAAAAGTCAGCCCAGAAGTAACTTTTAAATGGAAATCTTATTTTTTTAAAAGTGTTACCAAGAGATAATAAAAAAATTAGTGCCTACTTTTATTGTAGGACAAAATCTTAACATCTAGCCTAAGATAACATCCCTAACATTGTTCTTAATTTATTTGCACACAGATTAAGCAGCATCGTAATAAAGGAACACTTTCTACAGCTCCATCATAACTGTAGCCAGCTAACACTTAACCAGCTCCGCTGGACTTTCTGGCATCAACAGTAGCAACCTGTTTGGTAGCAATGAATTCTTCCTGAAATCAGACTATGGTTTAAGCCATAGTTTTCCTTTTCAGCAGAAGTTTTACTTTTTTCCCTGTGTATGTTCCTAGATAAATTTCTTGTAATATTTTTCTTGACTTAATTTTTTTTTTTTTTTTGCTGACAGAGTCCTCCGCTTTTGTTGTCAGGCTATTGAGTCGAGTGCCGTGGCATCAGCCTACTCACAGCAACCTCAACTCCTCGCGCCTCTAAGCGATCCTCCTGCCTCAGCCTCCCGGTAGCTGGGATACAGGCATGGTGGCCACCATGCCTCGCCTAATTTTTTATATATATATCAGTGCAATTATTTCTTCTAATTTTATAGTAAGACGGGGCTCTCCCGCTTTGCGTCAGGCCTGGTTTGGAACTCCGATTGAGCAAGTCCCCGCCTCGGCCCAAGAGCTAAGGATTACAGGCGTGAGCCAGCGCCCGCCTTCGACTTAATTTTTTTCAGGGTCACATGAAATGCCATCAATTACTTAAGACAGAACTTTTGAAGTCTTACTCACAAGAGCTCAACTTAGCCAGGTCTTCTGACTTGCTCATATAAAAGCAACGTACCTGTTTTTGTATCATTATGGTCCTCCATTCTATATGAAAGTCCAGAAACAAGCACCTATACTTATAGTGACCAGAGGGTACTAACGTGGTTCCCTGGGTTAACAACTGAGGAATCACCAAAGAGCCAGCCTGAGTGCTGGAGATGTTCTATATTTGATCTAAGTGATGGTTGACACAAACATACACACAGATCTGTAACTATATATATTTATGTGTACATATTAGCACATAGAAGTATACAAGTATAGACTTAAAATTTGTGTGCTTTACTGTAACCAACTTACACCTTAATAAGAAAGATAATACGTTGTCACCCATTCTGAAGTTTCTTATGAGAGACATCACTTCTTGTTTTAAAGCCTCCTTTTTCCTGCCTGAGTCCACCGTAGGTCAGATTTAATCTGGGACATTTGTAGGTTTACCTTCTGCAGGGTATCTTCTAAATTCTGAACCCTGTATCATGAGAACAATCTTAACCTCTACACACACCCTTGTGTCTCACTCTAGCATGTCCAGGAATAAATGAACAAGGAGAAAAGAACTCCAAGGTCCCTTCTGTTTCTATTTCTATACCCAGCTTTCTTTTCAGTAGTTCTGTGGAAACCCAGGATATTATGTACATTTACAGGGTGCTAAACTTTATTTAGGACAATGACAAACTGTACCTGGAGCAAGGTATTGGTGATAATGTCAGCGGTGGTAGATTTACCAAGCGATCTCTTACAGAACCATGAGTGCCCAAACTGCATCATAAAAGAAGTTGTCGCTGAATTTTGTAGAAGTTATGTTTTAGCTTGTGGTGTTGGATTATGAGCCTCTTAATGAAAACAAAAATATATACTGTAAATCCTACTGTACACTAATATTCCATAAATTTCAAATTAAAATTTAAATTTATAAAAAGGAACAATGATGATAGATCTTTAACTATAGTAGTGGCTTGAACTGCCATATGAAGTCTATTTCTAAATTAGGAATGAGTAACCATTTTTATATACTATTCTCACACTTTCATAAGTAATCTCATTAATGAACATTTGGGGATAGTATATAAATGATTTTACCATACTATATTCACATGTCAAATGTTGGTCAAGATTGTATCATTATGAGCCCTCCTTAGGTCAGTTCCACCTAAAACATTCTTTCTACCGGGATATTCTTTTTTTTTTGAGACGGAGTCTCACTCTGCTGCCCAGGCTAGAGTGCCATGGTATCAGCCTAATCTCACAGCAAACCTCAAACTCCTGGGCTAAAGCGATCCTCCTGCCTCAGCCTCCCAAGTAGCTGGACTATGCATCAGTGCCACCATGCCTGGCTAATTTTTAATATACATACATACATAGCATATATAGCTATATATATATATATATATTTTTTTTATTTAGTTGTCCAGCTAATTTCTTTCTCTATTTTAGTAGACCACAGAGCTTGCTCAGGCTGGTCTCGAACTCCTGAGCTCAAATGATCGCCGCTTTGGCCTCCAGAGTGCTAGGATTATAGGGGTGAGCCACCGCGCCTCATTTCTGTTAGAAGACACAGGAGAATATTGAACTGTGAAGATGAAACTAGATTGTTCACATACCTTTTCCTGCGACGCCACAGCTGTGACTTTAAGCTCTCACTTTGGGTGTTCCCAAGCTTCTGTTCCTGCTTCATTGTAGCAATTCTGTGCTCCAAAAGACTTTGATTTGCCACTGTTTTCAGGAAGAGAAAAGAGGTAAAAGGCATTTTTGCAAACAAATCTCTTATTTATATGCCTCCACTTATATTGTCAAGAACAAGTATCATCTAATTATGTGGTAGAACAGGACAAGGTAAAAAAATAAAATAAATAAAAAGGAATACTTTTATGGACTCCTTGTTCTACTCTATTTTCTTTTTGGGATTTCCCATTTTTTTTTTTCACTGCCGCTCATATTTTGAGGGTGGAGATGGCAGGGCTGGAAGGCAGTTAGAATCTCAAGAGCGTACCAGAGTACGAAATATGAAATACCATTAAGGCAGTGGTCCTTTTGAATCTAGAGATAAAATAGAATAAAAGGTGTCTGTTCTATGAAATAGATCCAATTATAAAATATTGTGAATGATTATATACACAAACCATTGATATATGTAAATTAATTATATTAAGAGCAATGTATATATAAAAATGAGGACAAGTTATGTTGGATTTAATAATAATATTAAACAATAATTAGACCACTGTCACATCGGCTTCAGAGATC